CCTCCCACCTCCGCCCGCAGCCCGCATCCGCCCACCCCCGCTCGCCCTCAATCAATCAATCAATCAATCAATCAATCAATCAATCAATCAATCAATCAATCAATCAATCAACCAACCAACCAATCAATCAATCAATCAATCGAACAATCAATCAATTGAACAATCAATCAATCAATCAATCAATCAATCAATCAATCAATCAATCAATCAATCAACTATGTGTCGGATGAACGGAGAACGGGCTGAATTCAACGCCGTTCAACATGTTTAACGGGCCCCGGGACCGCCGTTGAATCCCGTTTAACGCAAAAACGGGGGTGCCCCGTCGAATTCCGAAAAACGGAATTGGCGCGTTGGGCCTCGGACACGTGGCCCTACGCACCCAAACACCAAGAACAGGAAAAAAATATATAAAAAAATTGACCCCTATTAACAGGGTGGGGTGGCCAAAGATGCCCCTCCCTTTCGAAAATCAAACTGCAAGAGGGAAAAAAGATGGGGCCACCCCATACCCCAACACTGTGAGCACATGTGTGTGCATGTGGGTGCATGTCCTTTTTTCTTTATTTACCAAATGCTCCAATTTATTCCTCCAGTCTCATTTCCGAAGGGCCCCTGCATATTAGCAAGGACCCCTTGTGGAGCAGAGATGGACATTGGACTAGCGTGGGCCTACAACATATAGTCTGGATTCGAATTTAGGTCTGTGCATCACACTGATCACATTTATGGGTCAATAATTAATTGTTTTCTTGTTTTTCTTTTGTTTCTCGTTTTTCTTTTGTTTTCTGTTTTTCTTTTTGTTTTTGTATTTTTCTTTTGTTTTCTCATTTTTCTTTTAACAGCCATTTCGTCAAAACGGACATATTATATTTTTTGAGTGAAATCAAAACTGATTTTTTTGGCCAAAATTCGGTCGGAATTTTTGGCTCCTGGGCCGAGAACGCCGGACCCCCTACATGTATCTGGTCTCAAGCAGAGACCAGATACATGTAGGGGGTCCGGCGTTCTGGCCCTAGGAGCCAAAACTTCCGACCGGATTTTGGCCAAAAAAGTCAGTTTTGATTTCGTTCAAAAAAATATAATATGTCCGTTTTGACGAAATGACTCTTTTTTCTTAGGAATACGTGCAGTGGCCCTAAGGGCCTCTACTCACCACATGCACAAAAGACAAAACATATGGCGGTCTATTATTCCAGGTTCTTGAAAAATATCCTTTTTTTTTTTTTTTTTTTTTTGAAAGCCCAGGGTGTTGTAGAGGCCAAGGACCAGACCCGCGGAGACTGCTAGTAGCAGCAGCCAGTGGTTGTCCTGGCAGCCTGACATGATAGGCCAACTACCCTACCCATCCCCACGTTAATACTCCCAGCACACGCCCTGTCCCTACTAGGCTACTATCCTACCTCATTGTGACCAGCACTCAGGACCATCACCCTACCAGTATTAAGGGCAAACAACAATGACCAGCACTCAGGACCATCACCCTACTTGCCGTACGAGACTTCGGACGCCAGGCTCATGCAATCTTCTACAGGCCCAAATCAGGGAGTCTATCCAATAGGATTACCTAAGCAATGCAGGCCAAAAAATATGTTGTTTATGGTTTTGATTTTTTTTTAAAAATACACGAAGTAAAAAAAAAAAGCAAAAAAAATATGTTGTTGTACATCTTTGTAAGATCTACAGCCCTATAGTTTTTATTATTTTTTCCTGTTTTTGTTTTAGCCTTTAAAAAATATCTTTGAAACCCAAAAAAAAAAGACTTGTCATTTCTTGTTTCTGTTTTTTTCATTGTGCTTCTGTTTTTTATTTTTTTTAAATATATTTAAAGCTATAAAAATAGAAATAAAAATATGGGGTTGTAGACCTCGAAAAGATCTACAGCCCCATATTTTTCCGATTATGTTTAGCCTAGGAGAAAAATTATTGTTGACCCCGTTTTTTCCCGTCTAACGCGCATTCAAACGGGGATTGAACGCGAATTCAACACGCATTCAATAATTCAACGCGGAACCCACGTTAAATTCAAAATCGGACACATAATCAATGAATCCATCAACCAATCAATCAATCCGTCGATCTCGACGGATCATTTAGTTAAAGATCCATCAAGATCGACAGATTGATTTTGGTTGATGGATTGATTGATTGATTGATTGATTGATTGATTGATTGATTGATTGATTGATTGATTGATTGTTCAATTGATTGATTGATTGATTGATTGATTGATTGATTGATTGATTGATTATTTTATTTATCGATTGATAGATTGAATGCTTCTTCTTCTTCTTCTTCTTCTTCTTC